AAAAGCTTTAGCCATACGTTTTTTTATATAGACAAAATTTCATTATTTGTATTATGTTCAATGTGTACGTGATACTAATTCATTGAAGTTAGCGTGTTCTTCTATCGTTTTTCCAATTATCATTCAAATTTTCTTACGTATTTTTATATGAATACAAAATTTAGTATTTGTAGTATGTTCAGTTTGTAGTGAACGAAACAAAAAGCTTTTTTATTTCTAACAATGAGCTATGTATCATAAAAACGGACCAAACAATATCCATGATGATAATATTTCATTAAAGTTAGCGTATTAATTCTTAACATGTGTACCCAAAAAAAAAAAGTTAGCGTATTAATTCTTCTATTATTTTCTTATCATACAAATTTTAACGACATAAGAAAATTAAAGTGAATTTCAAACTTGTATTGAACATCTAATAATATTGAAAATGAGCTAGTTTTGAACTTTAAAAGAGAATAAAAGATTGAAGAAAAAAAAGTTGCTTCATTTTTGTTGGCAGCGAATGCATATGATACTTGCATTGTTTCCATACTTCGTCTTTTGCAACCCATTTTGCAAAGTGATTGTGCATTTTTTGTTATATAAATCATTACCAGATTCCTTTTATTTTCCCCATGTGTTGAACAAAATGTATTTTCTGCAAAGACATAATTGATTTAAAATATATTTCGACAAGCTCCAAGGTGCATGAACTTGTGAGCTTTAATTACCTTATGGGTTTAGATAAAGAGATTAATAAGAAAGTGAAGGCCCATATGATTGGCACAACTCAAGGAACAAGATATTCAACAAATGAATTAACTTGATTTTATGGGATGATCAGTTCAAAAAATCTCAATTGATATCTACTTTGTTTGTATTGATTGGCTTGACTACATGCATCGTCTCTGACGAAATCTGGTAAGATGAAATATCCGTAAATAGTACCGTATCGGTCTTCTTTGTTTTTTTGCTCAATCAAATTGATTCGAAAAGTGGTATTATCAAGATATGCTGTCATTTGACCAAAAAAAAAAAAAATCAAGATATGTTATCGAAAATCTCATAACTATATTGAAATATGTATATGCATCTATAACGTTAGTTAGTTAAGATCATCACTATAATAACTTGCACATCCAATGAAGCAATAGTCTTAAAATAAGATTTAAGGAAGTAGTGGACGCATAGGGAGTATCAAGGTGATAAGATATTCGTCTTACTATTAATCTTGCCAAAAAAAACTATGGTAGTAGGGAGTTATTAAAACAAATTATCGCAAGTATAACAATTCAATCATAAAAAGTTCCGATGAATGTGTTTTGTTCCCTTTTATATTTATATCTAAACACACACACATCTATATATATAAGCAATGAAAATCATATACCAAAACCAATAGCTACTCGGTTTGAGATTTGTCATTTTTATTAACTAATGGATATATAGTAAGATTTTGCTTTCGATAGAGGGCACAACTTATTATATTATGAGATGTTTAATTACGACCGATGTCAAATTTAAGACGATGAGCGATGACCTTGAAATACGGATTGTTATTGGATTTTTTTTTTTTGTTGGTCTTCCCTAATCTTAGATCCGTCGCATGTGAC